TGACGATAGCAAGCAATGGAGCAATAAAATGTCATGAGATGAATAATAATGCAATGTAAATATTTACTGTAATAATAGGGACTTTACCCTTAATAGATTTTTTTGATGGTTTTCTGGAATTAAATAGATTTATGAAATATGATCACTCCTTTAGGATAAAGATGTGGGAAGTCATAATTATGAATTTGTTTTGTCATAGCTGATAAAGTCTGAGCAACTTTATTGCATTTACTTATTTATTTTGCTAATTGCAATACATTTTAAATTAAATTTATTTTATATTTTTTTTTCTACCTATTTCCAACAGTATCTTTATAATCTGCATGAATAATTTACCCATTATTAACAATACATTTGGGGGAAAATTTAACGCAAATTAATTATTATGATGAGTTGCAATTTAATTATCATAGTCATTTATCGAATAAGTTGCTTCATAGAATATGTGCATACATTTCAAAAAGTTTATGTATAAAATTAGCATAAACATGAAGTCCATGTCAATTTATGGTTGACTTCTGCAATTTATTTACAATCATGTTGCATCGGTTTAATGTATATTGTGAAGTGAAAACTAATTAAAATTTTATATGTATGGATATAAAATTGGAACGAACAATTTTCATGGTATATTAAAAATGAAAGCTGTTGATTGCTGTGGCAACATGATTTTGAATTTTAATATTCATTGAGGAATAAGGTACTTATTATATATACCAGCAAAATCAAATTAGTAGAAACCCAAATCAAGTTCTATGAATTAAAATTTTGATTCGCGGTGTTTAAAACCTTCAGAAGTGTCGCGAACAGTGTAGTTACATTAGAAAGACTACCAAGTTCTCAATATAAATTTAGCAGAATCATTTCAACAATCACAAAAAATACTAAAATTTATCAAAGAGTCAATCATTTTTCCTTTGCTGAAAGCAACAAAATAATTTAATGATTCTTATCGATCTCTGATTTCAGGATATAAAATTAAACTAATATCTTAACAACCATGAATTAATCTCTTTGTATACAATGATAACTAGTGCAAGTAAGAGAATGAAAGCAAGATATGATGATAATAAAAGGAAGTCGTCAGATTTATGACACAAAATCGTCAACATTATTATCATCATTGTCAAAATAATGAAGTTTGTTATATGCTTCGAAGTAATAAAGACATAATATAGATTATATTCTTCTTCCAACAAGTATATCATAGTTTCCTATGGCTCTTTCGAGAAAATACATAAAATTATTATGGATGTTTGTGCTTACACATATACCGATTTGTATTGATTTTTCATTCACATGATGGTTTCTTGTATCTATAAAAAAGTTAAGATCTTTACGAATCACAATTTCAACTTGCATCTGTGAAGGACACGATTAATCGTCAGACTTTTCTTCAATTTGAATAAGCCTATTTTGTGGTATGATAAATATGTATAGGTTTTCTGAGCTGAAAGCCATAAAAACATTACTTACTGCTTTTTATAAAGAAAAAGAAGCTTAGAAAAGCAAACAAATTTTACAAATTTTATATGTTTACTCTTCCATGCCTGAACGGATAATAAATGTTGATTTGCAAGGAAGACATCATCAGCGTCATGCTATTCGGCTATAGAAAAAGAGTTTCATTGAACCTCTATCATCTGTAGACAAATAGATAAATAGCTTCCGGCTAGTAATATACAAAAGATGAAAATTTCTCTTTGCATATTTATGCTGTTGCTTATGTGTTTTTTTCTCCTGCGGAATCTCTTTGAAATGAAAAAGTTTCTGTTTTATTATAAAAGGAAGAAATAGTCCTTTTTATTTTTTACTGACTTGAAGCTATTCTTTGACCTCATACGGGAAATGTCTTCTTTTGATATTCAAGAATATGTTTAGTGGTTGAGCCATGCATGTGAGATGAATCAGTTTCTATTGTATACTTTGAGCTTATTAAGGTTTCACAGACATTGATAAAGTTTAAATCAATTTTTAATATAAAGACAATGCAATGAAAACAACTTATAACTTAATTTTTCTAGGAAAATTTCTAGCTGTAAGTCTAAAATGAAAGAAATAGTATTTCTTCTAACGCAATTACAAATGAATTTGAAAAGTTTCCAGGAAAGAAACAAGAAGAAAGAAAATACGAAATAATTTAATAAAAATTCTATTAACCGAGTAAATGGCAAAAAGTTTTACTTTGAAGAAAATTTCTGATTTTAAAAATATATTTGAAAAGTCTGTCATGATGAAAGAAATGAGATTTGAGATCGTTCATTTTGAACATGATATTTGACCACAAAGATTATTTACAATTTAAATTATAAAACCCTTGGTCAAGAGCTATTTTTTTTTATTACTATTTTACGTTTCTTGATCTAGTTTCATCACTACGATTATCAAGAAGTATAAAATGATTCTTTAGGATGTTAAAATCTAATTCAATAACATAAATTTAAATTACAAATGAAAGCAGCAAAACATAAACGCTGGTAAACGAATAAGCTAACATTTTTTTATTAATATTATCACATCGTTAAGTCACATAATTTCTTTTCCTTTTCTTTATTTATTTATCAATCAAACCTTTCATTGCCAGTGGTCATCGCGGTATTTTCTGGTTTTTTTTTTATTTCCTTTTCGGAAATGTCCTGATTCCTTCTTCCGTACTTCTTTGGCAATCTCTTAAGGCTGTTTTATTCCATTTTATTTCTATCAATATATTTTCTTTTTATCTCATTTCCACTGTGATTGCATTTGGAAAATTTGATTTGGCAATTTTTGTATTTCATTTTACTTTCAGTTTTGACTATAATAAATGGTAAAAGTGAAGTTTCGACAAAAAAGGATATGAAAAATTTATTTTTTTATTTGTTTATTTTTTAAGAACTTTTTTGTTAAAAATTGTATAAAGATAAAAAATCACACTGAATGATTATTTTGAAATAAACTGAAGAAATAAAAAATCACGAATCTCAAATTTTTATTTGAAAAATAATTCAGTTTTGAATAAATTCTCAAACCCTAGTTGAAGTTGTTCCTTAAGCAAACCACCATTTTAATTTTCTGCTTTACAAATTTTTTCAACTGGTTTTATTCATTTTTCAATTGAAAAAAGTGTAATTATTATTTTTAAAGACATATATCCGGAAGCTACTTGTCAGGTGCTTTTTTCATTAACAACGATTATTCATGGTTATAAAGAGGAGGAAGCTATACAGCATTTTCACACAAAAGCAGGTGTGTGGAAAAAGGTTCAAAACTTCTTTTATTAACTCTTATGGCGATTAACATCCAATTACTTTTATGAGTCGGATAACATTTAAATGAGATAATACATACACGCTTACGCTTACACGGGAAATATGAAATTATAGTATAATAATCTGAAATTGTCTGAATCTGAAAATATTTGAAATTTCATTATTTAATTCATAAAAAAATATCAAGTTCTTGGAAAAAAAAATAATCTATCCTCAACTTATTCAATGTAACGCCAATTTTCTCTCATCAAGCCAATGAAAAAAGGTAACTCGATATCATAGGATGACACATTTCATCCCTTATCAAACAATAGTCTGGATAATTTACGCTTGACTTTAAGAAATAATTGATAATTATTCTATTGCTGACGAAAGTCTTCTATGAAAAATTATTCAAACTTAATCGTGATATTAAGCAACTTACCCTTTTGAGGCATTCTTTACCCTCAACTTTAAAATTTTTGGCGATTCATTAAAAAACAAAATTGTCAATTTTTCAATATTATTGCCATTTCAATTAAATCGATTTTGAAATAAAAATTGTATTTGTTTAAATTTAAATAAACAATATTTATCCTTGTGTTAGTCTAAGTCTAGGTCAGAAAATATTGTAAGCTCAGCACATTCTGAAGAGAAAAAATAACTTTGCATATTCAGATCAATTCTGATCCAGAAGTGCACTAGAGCGATTTGCAGTTAATAGGAGTTTAACGAGTGAGGATGTGCTCAACCACTGCACTCAAACTTAGATCTACAATTTACAATGGGATCAAAACCTTTGAAGATATTTCAGCCTGTAGCCTTCAAAGAAAGGAATACTGAAGAGAATCATGTAAAGTTTAAAGGGTCCGCACAACAACATTAGAATGAATTTAAGGGAGAAATTTGTTCCACTTTCTATCGTCCTATATGCTGAAAAGAAGTTTATGTAATTGAAAATGACAATCAAAAGCCAGACAATAATTTCTTCCTTCCTTACATTTTTTCACAGTGAATTTTTCAACGATAAAAACTCCCTAGGGCACTGAATAAGGAAGCAAAACAGCCATTCTATACGATTCAATTAAAATCATAAAGTACTATCATAAACTTAATTAACGCTTAAAATGTTATTTATATTGAATAGCGTAAGAAGAAGCAATACTCAATATTAAAAAGTCAAGTGACAACAATTAAGGGGAACCAAAAAAAAGAGAACAAAGAGAAAATGTCTTGCGAATATCCTTTAATTAGAAAACAATTTTCATGTAGAAAATTCATTTTTGATAAGACAATCATAGAAATTGATTAAAATTAATTTTTCTCGTCTTTGCTGTTATAAAGTAATTAATTAGCTTATCAAAGCTTGAGTAAAAATTCATTCGAAAAATTTGTAATAAAAGAAATCATAAAAAAATTACTGAAACGAATCATTAGAACAGTTGTTTACTGAAAAATGAAGCATCTATTTAACAGCGAGATTTTTCATTTTATTCTCAAAAGTTTCCATTACAACCATAATCTTTTTTTTAATCATCTTTCTTTCATTAAATATATCTACATTATAATTCTATGTTTAAAACGGACTTAGTAATTTAAAATTGTTTGTTATATTTTTTTACCATTTTTCACTATTTAAAATGCTTTATGTAAAACCTCATACATTACATGAATGCATAGTTTTAATAAACTGTAATAAACTTATAGATTGTTAATAAAATACTTCTCAGGTGTTCAAATGATAACTTACTTAAAGTGCTTAAATAGTCATGAAAAAATTATAATTTATTAAAAGTAAAACTTCACTCTTTGAATAATGTATGAGATTCACTGAAAACCTTGTTTAACATTACCATTTGATAATTTTTTTTTTCTTCTTAATAACCCTATAAATTTATTCATGGTGATTCCAGGTATGATGATTAACATTTACAGAGTATACAGTACTGTTATTTGCGAGTGTTCATAATGTTATCATATTGCACAAAAACATCGTTTTAATGAAACAATAATGCAACGATGAAAAGATTTTTCTCTTTACAGTTTCCGAAAACAAACTATAAATTTCAGTACTATACTAAATGTCCTCAATTCGATTAAATGCACCAAAAAACGCTTTATTCTTGGCACAGTTGATATCGTGCAGATCGTGCTCACATAATCGTGGCTCCGAATTTGAATAGTACAAGTTTGTGTCGCTCCTATTTAAATTAATATCACTAAATGCAGTACTGTTACCAAAATGATGAAATTTCCCGTTGCTACTTCTATTATTATTATATGCTTGTGTCTGATGATTATGTTGGTAATGATTTTGATGTTGCATTGCATGGAGACTATTTGAACTAAACGTTCGCTCGAGAATTTCACCCCAATATTTTTCAGATAGACCATCGAAATCAGTATTGCCACTGATTGAAGGTGCACACATTTTTGGCAGTGGTGGTAATGGTATGTCATGGTCGCATTCCATACTGCTCATTGTACAACTATGGTGCTTGCTATCTTCCATTTTACTTCGCCTACGCCGAAAGCACTAGACATAATGTTCCAAATTTAATTAATTTAAAATATTTTTTTTTGTTGTTAAATGTTTACTTACAGTCGTTGCTATCATGTCATGTGAAATACTTCGAAAATGTGCGTTTAATAACCAGTAAAGGAATGGATTCCAAAAGCCGTTGCTGATTGCAAACCAAACAACCATAAACTCCATAATCGGCGGAACCTGAAACAATTACAATTTTGAAAATTAAAGGAAATAAGTCACGGACAACTGTATGATATTAAATGAAATTATTAAGTTGTTCAGAACGCGGAATAAAATGTTGAACTACATCTCTTGAGGACGTATTTTAAATGCTACTAGACTTTATATTCCCTTTCACAAGTTCCATAAGAAACAATAGAGATATATATTGTAACTTACAATAATGAAATCGAAATAAGCAAGTACAAAAGACGGGAGAAACGTAAAGAATGAAAAACAGAAATAAATTTTTTTAGAGAAAGGAATAATTAATTGATATGTCTACACAGTAATTGCACATTTTTCCGGACTCTTTTTCTATCTCTCTATGCTTACAATGTTCATTTTTATGTTGGCCAAGATTTTATTTGTCATTATTCACATTTATTTTATTTTTAAACTGTATAGACTAGGCATGAAGATATATCGAATGGGATGGTTAAAAGGAACAAAATAATAACAGCATAAATGTCTATAAAATATGTTTGCCATTTTCATTTCCGTTATATCGTTTTTTAAATCTCTCTCTAGCTACTAAATTCTAGCTTTGGCATCTGAGCTCAGTAGCTGGTTCCTGTGAAATATTGTAGACAAATTAAATCCAAAATTCTTAATCGCTTGATTGCTTTTTAAAGTTCTTCGTACTTTTTGTTTAATTGACTTTTTTATAGTGACAATTATTTACTTCAGCTTTAATATTGAAATTCTAATTGTTTGTGTTTCGCATGTACATGATCTTTTAGAAGAGCTTATACAATTACATTGAGCTCTTGAAAATTTAAATATTTTTACTATCCAAAGCATGAATAATCCTCTACAATTAGTTGACCAATATTGAGTATGGTTTGTGTATTGATAAAATTTATTTTGTCTCATACAGCCTTTCTACCTTTCCATAGAATTGTTGAAAATCCGATGATTAGGAAACATGCTTATAGGTATTTTAATTGTTCAGCGTATTTTATTGGTTTTATATATACATATTTAGCACAGCATTAATATCATTAAATTTTTACTCTCCGCATTTTGTACTAATTGTAGAGCTGGTAAGATTCAAATGCAGCATTTATATTTTGTATTCTGTATTCAGTATTTTGTACCATTATTTTATAAACAGCATAAAAAAATTAAAAAGTAGCTATCTTATGTGAAATAATTTTTTGTGACAAATTTTTTGCATTTTCCACCTCTGCATATCTCGCATCTGTCTGCTGATGAAATTTAAATTACGAATTACGGCTATAGCAAAAATGATTGCCTCGCTATAGAGAAAAGGACACTGATTGCTATTGTTCATTTTATCTTTAACTATACTTTTTGTGTCTGTGACTCTAGCACAGTATGTTTGTAGACACTAGCTGTGCGGTTTTGAATTAGTAAAGATAATAATTACCTTACTGCCCGTGCATGCTGCAACGACCTCTTGAATCGTATATGGCGTGACTATAACGATGAATCCTAATGAAATTGCGGCCATTGTCCTCGATGTTGATCCCCTTAAGACTCGTTCATGTTCAACCATCTCAAAAATGTAAAATAAAGAAAACGGAGAGACAGTAAGCATGAGAGAAAGAGCAATGAAATCAAGTTTGAGCATTAAACACATTGTCATCTCCAAATCTTGAGCATATAAACAGTTTTGCACATTCTAAAAGTTGATTATGAGGTAATGGAAATCATTTTCTGACATTTTGCAATCAACGTTGACTTAAATGAAAGTCATGAATGATATTACGTAGTTAAGCTTTTTGCTTTTATAGCATTTCAATTGATGCCGTTTCAGGATTACTGTTCTTTAATCCTATTTTAATTCCAAAAGTTTATAAAACACGAACGTAAATTTACATAATCATTAACAGGGGATCTTTGAATGATTCCGTGATAAAACTGAAAAAAATACGCAATTTCAGCATCCAGATGTTTTCGTTTATTTGAGTACTAATTGGTTGAACACATAACCTTAATTTAACATTTTTTTATAACTATTAAATTTATGATTTAAATTTAATGTCTAGAATACTTTTAAACGCAGAGAGAGAAAATTTATAAAGGAATCCTCTTAAATGAAACTAGAGAGAAACTTTTTTGCATATACAAGCTGTCAACATAATCTAAAACAGCTGAGAATAAGATAAAGAAAGGGATGGAAAAAGAGCAGAAAAGCACTTGAGATTTAAAGATTGGATGTCTTGATATTTCTCTTTCGTAATGTCAACAGCTGATTTTGCTGACAAACTAGAATTAGAAAACCATTTTTATTAATGTTGTCTGACAGAACAGACAAGTTTTACGAGACATATGCATGAAATTTGCTTTAAAACACTTTTTGTGTTTAGGTATAACATGGTTAACAACTTGGAGAAATATTTATTCATGATAAGATTTAGATGATGTCTAATGTCTCTTGAACATCAATATAACCTTTAAGATCAGCAAAATCTTGAAAATTAAAACTAGCTACAAAGTTTTAAAAATTTAAATAAAAAGCCAGATAAAGTCGCTAGACTAAGTTTAATATTTAAATTTATTTGCTTCAATCTATCGTTAATTTCTCCTTTTAAAGTTCTTAGAGTAATCAATGAATAAAACGGTAAAATATATTTCAAGAGCTAATCTTTCATTTTAAAAAACAAGTAAATTGTTCTTGAACTGCACTATATCAGCTGCTTACAATAATGTTAACGAGATAATTCAATTATATATATTTTTAACTGAAATATTGTCATGGGCGATTCAACAAAATACATATGAATAATACGGTACTCAATACAAATTAAGATTAAAAGTAAATAAAGATAAGGTTTATCTGTAGATGTATGTTCAAAACAAACGAGCTATTGCTTATTAAAAGAGAAGAGAAAATAATTTTAGTAAGCAACTGAACTTCGTAAAGATGAGATCGATTTTAGTAGTGATTTTTTTCTTCATAAAATGCAAAGCATCAGAAGATTTATTTCCTATTACAATTATTCATTTAAATGATATGCATGCACGGTTTGAAGAGACAAATACTTTAGCGAATACTTGTAAGAATCATGATGAATGTATCGGAGGATATGCAAGAGTTGTAACAAAAGTAAAAGAATTAAGATTAAATAGCCCAAATTCAATTTATATGAATGTTGCTGACAACTTCCAAGGAACATATTGGTACAATCTTTTTAGGTGGAATGCAACACAACATTTTTTGAATTTAGAACCAGCTGATGTCATGGTAAGTAATATTTAATAAAATAAATCTGAATGTAAAAAAATTATTGTTATCTTATCATTTTGATTGTTGGATTCAGACATTGGGAAATCATGAATTTGATCACGGAATTGAAGGTAGGATTACAAATTTTTATTGATTGTTTATAAAAGTCAATGAAAGTCATTTATTAAATGAATTATGTTCTTAGGTCTCGTGCCATTTCTTGAAAAAATCACAATTCCTGTTGTTAGTTGTAATATTGATACAACAGAAGAGCCAGAATTTGCATCATATTTCAATAATTCAATTATTCTCGAGAGAGACGGAAGGAAAATTGGAATTGTTGGAGTTACCACAACTTTTCCATCCAATTGGGGAAGAGCAAAAATTTTACCTGAAGTCGAAAATGTCCGTAAAGAAGTAGACAAATTGACTGAAGCAGGAATAAAAATTATCATAGTTTTGTCGCACTGTGGATTTGAAACTGACAAAGAAATTGCAAAGCATGGTGGACCTATAGATCTTATTGTTGGTGGACACTCACATACATTCTTGTATTCAGGAACTCCTGTTGGTCCTGACGCGCCAATTGGAAAATATCCCACAATTCAGGAACAAGAAAATGGTAGAGAAGTTCTTATTGTTCAAGCATCAGCATATAACAAATATCTCGGAAACATTCAAGTGTTTTTCGATGAAGAAGGAGAAATAAAGAAGTATGAAGGTGCACCAATATTTTTGTCACACGACATACCTGAAGATCCTTTCATTTTGGAAGAATTAAAACCTTGGAAAGCCATAGTTGATCCTATTCAAAGGAGACATATTGGGTATATTAAGCATGAATATGATAACTTTTGCTACGAACGTGAATGTGGAATGGGAAATTTAGTAACAGACTCCATGACATATGCTGTGAGCTCTTACTTTTAAAAATATATTTTTAATTAATTTATCTTAATTTCAGTTTTTGAATAATCGATCCGATGGTGAATGGACCGGTGCTTCAATAGCTTTGCAAGGACCAGGTGGCATGAGAGCTGGACTATCACCCGGAAATGTTATAATGGCTGATTTATTCACAACAACACCATTTGAAAATAAAATTCTTTCTGTAGAGCTTCCAGGATCTGCTATAATAGAAACTCTTGAGTTTTCTGTATCGAATGCAGATAAACTTCATGTTATGCAAGTATCTGGAATTAAGGTTGTGTTTGACTTAAGCAAAAATCCTTTTGAGAGAATTGTTGAACTTAAAGTTCTATGTCAAAAGTGTGATGTGCCTCGTTATGAAGATATAGAGAGTCAAAAATATTACAGAGTTGCTCTAGGTGACTATTTAGCGAATGGGGGAGATGATTTTTCCATGATTCCAAAATACGCTCGAAATCATATAGAAGGACCATTAGATATTGATGCACTTACAACTTATGTTGAAAAAAATACACCAATTAATTTACCCGGATTATTAGGCCGCATTCAGTTTATTTAAAAAATTTCAAATAAAATAAATAACCAATGTACTTAAGTTTTGCTGTCCACTTTTGCTTAAGTTTTAAATCCACTGTTATTTGATTGCAAAATAATTCTGAACAGCATTTTGTGTGATTATTCACAAATCTTAAATTTGCATAAAAGTAATTTTCGTCTTTCATCATTGTTTTTATCTTCATTACATTTCAGCAGATTTTTTTACAACAGACAATTCTGATTCTGGTAAAATGTATGAGATCATGCTGAATATGCGAAAAAAATATATCAATCAACTTAGAATGACATGACTCATGTAGTACTCATGGAAAATGCTCTAATCATCATGATATGAAGCACTAACAACAATAACATCATGATATCCTGATATCCTGATATCCTGATTCAATTTGAGAAAATATGCACACAAAATTATGTGCTTTAAACATTTCTAGATAAAAAATTTTTTTTTAAAATGAACAAGTGATTAATTTGCATTTAAACTATGCATTATTAAACTTTATAGTGTATAATCATATTATCATACACCTGAATGTGATGTGAGGTAATTAAAGTGTAGTGAAATTGCAATAAAATGAACAATTAAATTATGAAATCTGTGCACAATAATTGAATTAAAAATTTGAAGCTAATAGTTTCTTACCTTTTCAGCAATTGCGACGGGAGCAACAAATGCTGAAGTAGATGAAGAAGCTGACGGTGCCGTAACTAGACGAAAACGATTTGCATGGAAACTTGAACCATAACAATACATTAAAACCATTGTTGTAGGGAAATAAAATGCGCACGTTGCTAAAATTCGATAAGAGGGTTTATTATAAAATGGTTCACAGCCAAGTAAACCAATTGAGTTGAAAAAGTACTGTCCTGTAATAACACAAAAGTTAAATTAGCCTCTGAATTAAGACATTTCAAATTAAAATTCTTCAATTGTCATCATTAGAACTGTTGGAATTTTAAATGAATCAAATTAATTTATTAAATTTTGAGAAAAACTTACCTCTGGGTAACACGAGAGTTCCGAAAAATGATAGACATAAAATCCATGTTATACTTAGAATGGCTACACAACCCTTCAAAAAAATAGGAAAAATATTGAGAAAACGAATAAAGTTAAATTATTCAATTCTATTAAAGCTTACAAAAGATTAAGCATGAAACTTTCACTCAAATTACTACTCAATGGAATGAATTTTAATGCTTTAATCTCGCAGAAAATTGTTACGCAAATTGTTGTGCATAAAACGTTCACGAAAAATAAGTAAGATACTTATGGATACTTATATAAAATGTTAACATTAATTGAGAAACTCAGGAAAACTTGGACGAACTTTAGGTATATAATTTGAATGCACTAATGATTCAATTTCGCTTGCATTTACTGAACGTTCACAATTCTTTAATATTAAAGATTATGCTTTAAAGATATATAAGAGTTTATCACAATACTTCTGCTAAGTTTGTAAGCTTTGAAAATTAAATGATTGCCTTGACACACAGCAGACAACAAATCAATGAATAAATTTCTTCTTTATTTTCTTTTCATCTCTCACTATCTTTGATCTTAAATGCTTTTTGATGCTTTCGTCAAGTACCTTAGATAGTTCGTGAAGTAAGACAAAAAAAAATCTTAAAAACAGTAAAGTTTCAATAGTCTGAAAAGCTTTTAACCCGTTTGAATGAATATTATAGCTTTATTTTATATCCAATGGTCGTTTTGTTAACAAGAGCTTTTTAAAGTGTTTGAACAACTTTTTTTCTGTTATGCTGTTCCAATAACTTCCAAAAGCATTTTGTTGCAGTTTTATGATTCAACGAAAATGCTCTTATGAAAGTGATGTTTTGCTAAAAAAAAAAGTTGGATGTTCTAAAGAACTTGTAATATTGCTGATAAAAGTTTCTATAATATAAGATATTAAGCTTTAAAGCGCTTATAAAAATATTTTCATCAATTTTTTTATGTTCAACAGTAAGCTTTCATTTTTTTTCATATGAATCACATCTAAAGTGATGGTAGCCAATTAGAATGCAAAAATACTTAAATTTTGCTTAAATTTGAACGAAAAATCGTGAAATCTGGTGAAATCTTGAATTTATATCTAAAATATTTTTAAAATTTTCGCATTACCCTTTCAATGTTCTAGCTAGAGTGGAAATTTTCTTGATTTCTAGCCAAAAATTGTATGATTGAGTTACAGCTGTTAGTAACCAATCAGCCTTAACTATTGCTGTGCTATTCGAAGTAAAACATAAAATATTTTTAAAAAGTAGAGTTAAACTAAAGCTCTTTTAGTGCCAACACATAAAGCAACCACTTTTCTCATTCTTTTAATAACAGAAAAATATTATACACAAATATTGAATTTTTGTCAACTGTATATGATTGAAAATTCCCTTTTTCGTTATTTCTTTTATTACGATACAATAAAATTTTGATGTAAAAAAATTTAGAGCCAATGAGACTACTCTGTATCATAACAACATTGTATGATTGTTGTATGAAATGGAATGTAGTTAGATGAAAGAAGGAAATAAAATGAAATGTACAGAGAAAGAATTGAAAAATTATATTTGTACTCATTGCAATTCATTCTACTGCCGCCATTCTACAATTTATTGTGCTTTATAATACTTTCAAAATTGAATTTTTTTTTCTTCTTGTTCAAGGACCTTTAGTTAAAGTTTCTTTCGATGTTTTTGCATGAACAACAGTACTTTATATTCAAAAGAGTGCAGAGAACTTTACTCTATAAATTTCAAATCCTTAAAACTGTATAATTTACACATTCCACCACATTCTTTAATTTGCAAAACTGCTTTGCATAAAAGTCATTCAACTAGAGAAAATTACTAGACCTATGTTATGCAAACTGTTTATTCGTAAACTGACTACATTTTCATTTAAGTATTCCTCGGAAATGTCATTTCAAGTCAAAAGCAATGGCTCAATAATACAAAGCTTATCTTAGTAGTAAATACGAATATGAGACGGGAAATTCTAGACCCACAGACTGATTCATAACAATAGAAAAGTTGAAATACATTTTCTCGTCATTGTCATTCATAATCTTATGAGATTCGCATGCCATCTTATTGAATAAACAATTTTCATCTATAAAAATTCAAATATTATTTAGTTCGACATTGCAAAATTATTTCTGTACGAGTTACTACTGTTGTGAATAAAAGTTTTATGTGCTTCGAACTTTTTTTTTATGTTAAGCCTCAAATCATGAGAAAATGAAGATTTTATTGCGAAAATTGCCTTCTGTCTCTTAACGGCTTTATCCTTGACTCACAAATTGTCAAACAAAAAGTATTAAATATCGTCATCCGTCAACATTGAGTTAAAGCACGTGTAAGTTGTAATAAAAATTATGTCATATATGTAAATTCCTTCTCATCTGACTGTACAAATGTTAATAAATTCGGAATATTTTACTGCCAAGCTTTAAAAAGTTTCAATCTCTTGTTTGCTTATTTTCTCGTTCCTATAAAAGAAAGACTTACTTTTTTGCTTGAATGTTGATGATATTTATGAGGATACAATGCGCACGTATAACGATCCACAGCCATACAAACAAGTATGACAGCACTTTGTTGCGTTAAAGCTCCACGCAATAATGCCTGTAACAGGAATGAAATCATATGGGAGAAAATTGTCACGAGTGTAATAATCATTAATTTAAAAAGAAAATGTATTTAGATTTGCATCTGCATATGGCATTTGACATAAATCTGTATAACAACTCACCTGAATCTGGCAAAAGATCTCACCATAAGGCCAACAATGTAACAAGGCAGGTAGAGTACCGAAAGGTGTTATTAAAAGACCTATTGCTAAATCGTTTAACGCTAATGATGTTATCAAATACCTTGGCTGTAAGTGTAAAGGATGTTAAAAATGATAAAAATCGTGTGATAATGGCTTCCATTTAAAAACAGGATGACGATACTTACTTGAGGATGTATAAATGATGAATATCGCCGACAATTTATAACAATTATGAGCACAAGATTCGCTCCTACGATCGCTAATGTTAACGTCATGATAAAAAATGCCTGTATTACGTCTGAAGCACCAGTATATTGAAAGAATGATGTATTTACACGGTTTGAGCAGCTTTCATTACGAAGTGATGGTACTGTTAGAATTGTGGCTTTTAGATCCATTACATTGCTCTATTAATATTAATAATCATCGTTCCAAAGTTTATTGTCATTTTCAGCAAGCATTTATTTGAATAAAGTAAAGAACAATGACCATATTTTTATCCTGTCCATATTAAAAATAATAAAAATGTTTTAAAAAAAATTTGTGTATGTTACCAATATATCAATAAGAATTTATTCGTAAAAGCATATCAAAATAATAATCATAAATTTTTAACCATTATATTTTTGTTGTGTTTTAAATCGATTTAATGTTGCAAAATAAACACATGTTCATGGAGAATATTAAGTGTCTAGGGAAAGTTACATTGGATTTATATTCTCTGAAAAAGGTACATATTTTTATAAAATGATAAAATTGTTTAAAAATGAATTCCATGTGGAGTTTTACAATTTCAGCTGTAATTTTTGGGCTACTTTGGAATGTTACTAAAATCGCATCCTAATTGCTGGAAGACAAATTTTTTATTGCTTTATTTATCATCACACAAATTATAACGAAAAGTTTTAAAATCATTCTTCATGTTACGTTCCCTTTAATTATCCTTTTATTTCATTCATTTAACAAATTAAAAAACCAATAAATAGTGGAAATTAATGAACCAGAATTATCGCTAAAGTTTAAATCTATAAAACCACAACAAGTTAAAATGATTGTTTCGATGTTGAAGCAAATGTTTATTAAGTTTTGGATTATTCTTGTTATTGAATTTTATATGAAATTAAAAAAAAAAGCTTTTGAATTTTAAATAAAAAATATTCATTTAATAAATTATTCATGAAATGAAGACTATCTATCAAAATGAACAAAAGGGCGATTTTTTTGGATGCTTTTAGAAAATTCCTGTCTCAAAAATTATATAATAAAAAAATATATCTAAAAAAAATTATATATTTAAGCATAGTCAAGGAGGTCATCAATCAATCAATTTCGTTATTATCTTGTTTCATATATAAAGTCAATGAAAGAAGGAACGTCCTCAAGATGACTGTCAAAATTAGAGGAAGAAAAAGCTTTCAGCATCAGAAGATTAAGGAAGGAAAAAAAATGTTACCACAAAAAAAATTAAATGTTTCACATGATTGAACAATCTCTGCAAGCTTTAGCAAAAAAATATTGAATCCATAGAAGCAGTATGTAATTGAATATTGGATTTCAATAAACAACAAAGTCATCCTGAATTAATTTCTCAACTCTGCCAAAAAAATTCATAGATATCAAATATTGACAAATCCATAAAATCCTCTCATCAGCATCAATAATGATGTTGAATGAAAATCTCTTCATGTCATTTTCAATTTTTTATTATCTCTTCTCTCTTATTCTCACGTTCATTCATTCATTTATTGTTGCAATGGATAAATGAAAAGTGACGATTAGTAAATATCAAATAAATTGCAACAAGTGAAGATTCCATTTATGAAAGATATTTCGACACATCATTTTGCTTCTTTCCCTCTTTTTCACTCTAATGATTCTTTGATGATATCACATTATCAAAGATAAAAGCTAGAAGATAAATCAATAAGAAGAAACTTTTCAATGAAGACATCACGGTTGGAAAAAAAATTTTTATTGATTTTTGATGTCAATAATTAGGTGAAATTTTTTTCTTGAATCAAGAATAAGTGAAAGGAAGTATTAAAAAGTTATTCACCCAAGCATGTATCAATGTAGAAATTAATCAATTTTATGTCTAAGAGGATTAATTAATTAAAAAATCTTAGACATGCTTCACATAAAATGAGTCCTTTTCTCAATGAAAAGAAAACGAGTCAGCATTTATATCATTTCCTAGAATAAACATGCATATGGATATTCACAGACATATAAAAGACTCACATCACATTCACTCGTTTGCAAATAGAAAATTATTTCCACCAACTACAAAAGAACTGTCATCAAATCACAGCATAACCAAAAGAGCATTCGAAAAAGGATTAATATACTCTTCAACAGTGGCGTAAACAGAAATGTAGAAAATATTCTATTAAAGTTCTAAGTACGCCGCTGCTCCTCACATTTAAAAGTTTATTCCATGTTGAGAAAATGAAAACTTAGGACAAATAAAATTAAGAGAAAAGTTGTTGAATTTAATTAATGTGAAAGGGAATGTTAGAATAATAAACTTTAGTGAGAATAATGAAAGACAAAGAGTAAATTGGTCGTCCTATGTTTGGCTTATATAAAACTATAACCAAAATAAACTTTTCACACATTCTTCAAATTGTAAGACAAATGGAATTTGTTGAAATAATGATAAAATTTTGTTTGCTAGCAAAGGAAAAGACCTTAGAAATGAAAATGCGCATAGAATTTCGTCTAAAAAATTAAGTTAAACATTAATTTCTTAGAATAGAGCATCTTTTATTTTACTTTTTTTTTCAAATAAAATATAAACACTTTTAAAATAATTTTATGATTTTTAAAAAAATAGATAAATCCCGAAAGGGTGCTAAATGAAAGAAATAAGTCTTGAGTTATAATATTGTAATTTAAGATTCTCATTCCCAAAAGAAGCTTACAAAAAACTAATTCCTGAATCCTTTAAAAAAAAATATTTTCGAGTAAAGTTTTTTAAAAATTTTAATTTAAATGAGGTGCTTTAATCTTAAATACGAATAACATAAAGTCGTGATTTTTTTTTTTTCTTAAATGGATTTGCAAATCTTGTCTTCTAAAATATTTCTCTTCTTGACTCAAATATTTAATTCACACTTTTGTTCTTAAAGTGAATGTCATGATTTATGATACTGAATACAAATTAATCTTGCTCAGCATGTGACAGTGAGAGAAACTGAGAGAAACAGTCACCTATGAGGGTGTACATATTTCAGTTCTTTAACCATGTAATTTATTTCAGCTCTCGTATTTAGTGGCCGCAACATACTTTCCGTAAGACATCAAAAGCTATCTTATTAAGCTAACCTTAAAAGCACCGTGAAATGTTGTGATTACAGCTTCATAATAAGCAAATAAGAAGCATAAATTTTCTTGTAAATTAAATTGCAAAGAAAAGCAGTGATACATCATTTTTCAAACAGCATTTCTTTACTGAGTTGCTCAAGTTAATGTACAGATTTGTTTTGAAATGATGCCGTAAATTACCTTAAGTTGCAAATTTACTAAAGGAGTTATTTTAAATTTTTGACAATGTGAAATTGTAACCATCCAGACAGTTTTTTTACACCTTAGCTTGTTGCAGCATGTGATATGTTAATTTCTGTTTTCTATGACAGGCACTAATGATTATCAATATTTAAATATTCTCTATCAGGAAAGTGGTCATAAATTTTTCGAAACGGAATTAATTCCAAACGTAGAGTCAAAAACGTTGACCCTTTAAAATTTAGATGTTATTTCCACCAGGATGTGAACTAAAATACATGTATGAATAAAACATTTTTATTGAACTGAGTACTTTAATTAATTAAAAAAGAAATTCCCATAAATGCCTTGCAAGCAAGTGACTAAACATAACAAAATAGAAAATATCAGAGTTAAATCCTTGTTATTGTTTTTATCCTTTATGAAATAATATGTAATGAAACATTTATTATGTTGTATTTCGCATGTGTTGTGTTTTCATCAGAAAGCTGTAGGCGACACAATGCTAAGCTACCCTTTCTCCGAGAATGAAATAATACTTAATATGTTTTAAAAATGTTTCATTATAGTTGGAATTTGGGAACAAAGTCTTAATCATCATTCGGAAGAACTGAATTCATGGAAGAATCTTAATTCTACAGTTGATTACGAGAACATTCCTTCAGCAATACTTCCAAAATATGCTCCCTCTATTTCATGTTTCTCAGTATTTCACTATGCACTGCTATGCACAATAACTGTTCTCCTTTTTTTTTCACTATCATTTCCAATAAATTAAACTCGCTTTATCTTAACATAAGAAAAAAACATGACATCTACATGAATCTTTAAAGTATTAAGAGAACAAGCCTTTTACAATTGTGTCCGTAGTTATCTAGAAATGAAAATTTGCTTCACTAAGCACAGTTGGAAATGACGCAAGTTATAAGTTTATCTTGGTGTTGAATTTATATAGAATATTTCAAATAAATACTGTTTCTGCCAACTATATCTTCATTTTTTGGAGGGAGCTAGATATGTCAGAAATTTCGAATTTTTGACACCAAGAATTTCTAGTCTACAAATCTTAGTCACAAGTTAACGACCATAAATCATAATTTGATTTGCTTGAAATTTTCGGTCTCAAAATTTCAATTTTTTGAGAAAATTTGCAATATATTTGTAGCATTAGTAGACAAAATAATTCAGAACTTTTATGCATGTAAATGAAATTGAGCCGTGAAAACAAGCGTGTCTCAACAAAAATCTTATTCTTTTTTTCTCATTTGTAAGGCAAAAATGCAGTCTTTAGTAAAGTCATTATTATTTCTTTAAAGACCAGTAAAATGCTATGGTAATAAGAAAATCAATTTTTATATCAATTTTTATGAATTTCACTTTCGTATTCTGCATGCAAAAAGAAGACATACATAGTAAAAATTGAATAAAATGTTAAGGAAAGAAGATAAATAAATATGAAGAATTGAAATGACATTCTAGCCATTAAAAGACATTCAAAACATCTAAATGTAAAGTCATAAGAAGAAATATTAAAGCAAAAAATAATGGAGATATATAACATAGATAAATAGATTGAGGAAGAGAGGATCTAATCTCTATAGAAAAACTATCACGACTTATAGAACATTTGAAATAGGAAAAATAGCTTTAAATGTGAACAAAAAGCAAAAACGAGCAGCAATGACTTCTTATTTGGACGCAGACACAAAAATTTTTTAAATGAATTTCTATCTCGACCATCCTCAGTCCAATAATTTTTTCCAATTTTTTTTATCATATGCATGACTTTGTGTCTAATTTATATGGTCTGCATTCATATAAAGTGCCTACATCATGTCATCTGAATTATTTCCGCTTAAAAGAAGCGGAAAACGAAAAACTTTCAAGAGCGGAAAAAATTAATTAAGTTGTTGTATGTAAACAAAAAAAAAATTGAATGAAGAAAAATCAAGAAGGACGAATTTATAGTTCAAAAAAATTTATATTCTCTATATG